CAACTACTCTTTTGTTTAGGCTTGGGAAGAACAATGCAAGCTTTTTACAAATAATTTCAGCTGGATGTACGTTGGTGGGCGGGTGTTGAGAGTTACCAGGCGGCCGTACAACTTGATGGGCGGGCCGCCCACCTAAAACCCCTTGTGGAGAACACTGCAATATTTAAAAATCAATGGGGAGACTGTCACATTAGAGGTGTGCTACCATGGTGTGAGACTATTGGGATCATGAACCAAGACGCTTGACCTTAGGGGTCATTAACCAAGATGTGTGACCTTAGGGGGTCATGAACCAAGATGTGTTACCGGTACCTTAGGGGGTCATGAACCGAAATGTGTGACATTGGGGGGTCATGAACCAAGATGTATGACATTGAGGGGGTCATGAACCAAGATGTGTGACATTGAGGGGGTCATGAACCAAGATGTGCAACATTGAGGGGGTCATGAACCAAGATGTACGACATTGAGGGGATAGGGTCATGAACCAAGATGTGCGGCATTGAGGGGGGCATGAACCAAGATGTGCGACATTGAGGGGGGGCATGAACCAATATGTGTTACCAGTACCTTTGGGGGTTATGAACCGAAATGTGTAACCTTAGGGGGTCATGAACCAAGATGTACGACATTGAGGGGGTCATGAACCAATATGTGTGACATTGAGGGGGCATGAATCAAGATGTGCGACATTGAGAGGGGGGGGGGGGCATGAACCAATATGTGTTACCGGTACCTTTGGGGGTCATGAACCGAAATGTGTGACCTTAGGGGGTCATGAACCAAGATGTGCGACATTGAGGGGGTCATGAACCAATATGTGTGACATTGAGGGGGTCATGAACCAAGATGTACGACATTGAGGGGGTCATGAACCAATATGTGTTACCGGTACCTTAGGGGGTCATGAACCGAAATGTGTGACCTTAGGGGGTCATGAAGCAAGATGTGCAACATTGAGGGGGTCATGAACCAATATGTGTGACATTGAGGGGGTCATGAACCAAGATGTGCGACATTGAGGGGGTCATGAACCAATATGTGTGACATTGAGGGGGTCATGAACCAAGATGTACGACATTGAGGGGGTCATGAACCAATATGTGTTACCTTAGGGGATCATGAACCAAGATGTGCAACATTGAGGGGGGCATGAACCAAGATGTGTGACATTGAGAGGGGGGGGGGCATGAACCAAGATGTGTGACCTCAGAATTATAAATACTTACAGGTGCATCCTTCTGGGGTTAACATGAACCAATATGTGTTACCGGTACCTTAGGGGGGTCATGAACCGAAATGTGTTACCTTAGGGGATCATGAACCAAGATGTGCAACAATGAGGGGATCATGAACCAATATGTGTGACATTGAGGGGGGGCATGAACCAATATGTGTTACCGGTACCTTAGGGGGGTCATGAACCGAAATGTGTTACCTTAGGGGATCATGAACCAAGATGTGCAACAATGAGGGGGGCATGAACCAAGATGTGCAACATTGGCGGGGGGCATGAACCAAGATGTGTGACATTGAGGGGATGGGGGGCATGAACCAAGATGTGTGACCTCAGAATTATAAATACTTACAGGTGCATCCTTCTGGGGTTAACACATGTCTAGTTTGACATACATCACAGGCTCTTCCTCTCAGTCCTGGTTCACAATCACACTGACCACTTTGTTTATCACAGATCTGACTTGTAGCACCTTGTTCATTGCAATCACACTCTTCACATCTATCTCCTAGTGTGCTAGGGTTTCCATAGTAACCATCCTCACAGCTGTGAAATTTGAGTTAATATCACATAATAAAGACTAGAAAATCAAGATTACTGTACATGCCTGACAATATGTAATACCGAAAAATATTTTAGCTGGAATTGATTTTTGCTGAAAAGACATTTCTGCTGTTTTGTATCAGGTAAATTTTTGCTGATTATTGATGAGTTGAATTTAAAATGCAGGAAAAATGGTATTTCCAATGGATTATATATTCAATGATTCATCCCTTTAGTGTAAATAAATTTCAAGTGAAAATAAAGCACTTTACAGTTAGGAGAATAAGGGCATTTATTACCTGTCACAGTATCTACCAGTATATCCAGTATCACAATCTGTACAGCGATGTGAACCATCATTATCTAGTACACAAGTAGGGCTGAAACTGTTAAAAAGAAAATATATATTTAGTAGGCTGGTAGCATGTGTGGGGGAACATTGCCAACTGGCATTAAATTACTTCTAATCAATGCGATTACATGACAGCTTTTAATGGAATACATCAATGGTATGTCCTATGATTGCACAGCATACATAACTCCTGTAATTCACAACTTATCCTTTACTTAAATTAACACTTACAGACTCATTTAGTATTAAAATTACATTCCCACCTTGCAAAACATGAAATGTGTTCAAATAATATTGTTTTCCATAATAAATATGATATATTAAATATAGATATCCTGTTCATTTTATTTTGAGTCTTTGAGGGTTTTATACCTGGGACAAGCATAACGACATAGTAAATGCCTCCAAGAACAACAAAGCCCCCTAACTCAGTGTTTTTTGGTAAAAGATTATAAACACAATTTGGTAGATGTTGAAATTAAACATTATACAATTATACTATTTACAGAAAAGTCTGACACATGGTTGGTAGCAGCCATATTGGAAATTGGTTTCTTGGTAAACTTACTTGTTAGATGACTCTTTCAAAGGACAAGCACATGGTTGGCAATCATCAGGGGTGCCATTAGTAGCATTGCCATAGTAACCTTCTTCACATGTTTCACACATAGGACCTCTAGTATGATCTTGACAATCCTAGAAAACACAAACATATTGTGAAACTGTCATATGTCAGTACAGTGTTCATTTTTGTTCAAATGACGTTTTGTATGGAATTTATTTTCACAGCTTTTGGACAAGTTGAATGAAAAATATAGGATTTATTTTATTTAGGATACTGGATTTCATTTTCACTGAATTGTCCCTTTAGCTAAAATAGCGAAAATTATTCCAAGTGAAATAAAGTATTTTTATAGTAGTTAAAATTATTGATAAGATCAACAATATATTCCTACATGTACAAATTTATCTTGTATATTTCTGTGTACATACAAAAGCCTAGATTTGATTATTTGCTCGATTAATGACACAAACAACGATAACAATGACAGACAATTTCCCCATTATATATACCAACTTACCTCACATATTCCAGTGTTAGGATCACACATACTCCCATGTTCATTACAAGTGCATGGTCTACAAGATCCGAGGTATGGTCCGTTAGATACACGTACATAGCCAGCAGCACACTCCTAAGTAAAAGGTTACAAGATATAGATGATTTTCCATCCACTGTTAGATTTTTCGTAATACGTGAAAATCGTGAACTTAATTTTGAACCTGAATTTCTGTTTTTATAGTTCAATACTAATAATTTTTCAAAGGAAAATATGGCATTAAGATACTCTTACTTCATCAAAATTGACAATTACCAGTAAATGTGTATAGCACATTATTGAGCATAGAAATTCTTTCACGTTTGTTGAATCTAATGCGATGTTTTGATGTGATTCTCGCAGCGAATGAAAAATGGTTTATTGCATCTAGGCATAAATTATCATGTGTTAAATTATCATCTCAACAGACTCTCACAGAAAGCTTAAAACTACACCATTGGGGTATGTCAAGAGAGTTGTCAGCCAATTTCAGTTTTCTGTTCTCCAGTACGATGCTACTTACTTTCACTGATCCATGAACAAGATAAATTTACCAAATTACGGTAATAGTAATATAATCAGAAAAGCTGAGAATATTTCAAGTTTTTCTCACCTCACATGAAATACCAATGTATCCAACTGGACATTCACAAGATTCCACACCCAATGCATCACTCAAGGATGGATTATCTGATCTTGGTATTCCAACTTCCATGCTGACATCACGTAACCTAGACACAAATCAAAATCAGTGTCACTATTATAATCAATGTTGTAATCAATGTCACTACTATCTTGCTCTATTTAAAAGCCTATTTTGCATTTATCGTCTGCTGGATCATTTCAAATACACATTTTTTTTTTACTATAGACACATCATTTACTAATTTACGTAAGCACATGTGCTACTAATAGAACAAATATGGAATTGTAATCAAAGCCATTAACCTAATCATAATCAGTCATAATCAATGTCAAGATCATAAACGATAGCATGATCACAATCAATGTCATTAAGTAATAATATTTGAAGCAGTCATGCGCATAAAAAATCAAAACAAGCGAACAGGGGCGCAGTGCCCCCATTCCATGGCAATGCGCCCCCTTACCCTGGGGAAAAGATCCTCTGGCAACCATAAAATTCTGAATGACCAGTCTTCAACTGTGATAGAATGCTCCATTTTAACTTAAAATTATCAAAAACTCGACACCCTGGTAGGGAGAACCCTATCTCCCCCACTTGGTGGCGCCACTGAATTGCAGTGCTCCCTCTAGCAGTTTTTTTCTAGAAAAACCCCTGTGTGTCAGTATATGTTTCAGCAAGATTTTGCACAATACCCATAGAGATACTTACTGCAAATTTTTCTACTGTGATTTTATCTTTATGAGTGAGCATTTCCACCAAAAATATAGCTAATCTCACTGTAGATACAAAATAGGTATTGCTATTTTTCTTTTACAAATTAAAACTGAAGCAGACCTAAGAATTTTCATTATGCCATCAATAAATCAATAGCCAAATTTTTTTAGTTAAAACTGAAAATTAACTTAATTTTTTCCAAAATAAAGAGTTCATTTTCAGAAATATTGAAGAATAATATAAGAAAGAAAAAACGCAGACAAATTTTGGCAAGAAAGTCTGGGAGTGAAAAGGTTAATGCATACAGCATTTAAAGTATTCTTACACAGATTGTATTGTGTCCTTGCTGTATGTGGCTCTAATCATTATAGACTGTATATTCTGTAGAACCATCATAAAGAGGTCACGAGGTGCTTTCTCAGCATCACGTAATTGCCACTCAGTCTGCAATGAAGAAAGATAAATTAGAAATCCAGTTGTATACTTGCATTTATGTAGCATTATCTACATATATCATGATTGTACTCCTTAAATAGGTCAAATACCATAATTGTAACATGACAGTTAGAATGAAACTACATAAAGGGTTGCACATGTGCACAGATAAAACGATTGTTCAGGGTCAAGTTCACCTGTCCTATATTAAAGCAGGGGAGTCATCACCTGCGCATACGTCAGATGGCCATAGTGTGTCATCTACCCATGGGCCTTTGCGTTTTTAGCATGTGTTGTTATCGTCGCTTGGGACTCAATTCTCGCGTATGCGCAGGTGACAACCCTCCCGCTATAAGTAACAGTCAAAACAACAAATCACTGCATCTTTGACTTATTAATATTTGTACTAGGATAGTAAAATACGGATTAATATAAAGCGAAAATGGATGACTTGTGAAAAATGTGGAGAATAAAATAACACGATAAATGTGCTATTCTCATTGCACATTAGGTTACATCAAGCACATGAAAAAGTGAACTCTCATTCTTGTTACCATGGTAACAACAATTTGACGATTTCCTGGAAATAATTTGTGAGTAATTTAATAGTGTTAAATTGTGATTCTCATAATACAAACCTCTACAAGCTCCAAATCATATGTCTGTGGAACTCCAACAAATGGGTTCAATAATTGCTTGACCAGAGTCTGCTGGGGACCTTTGATTAGAATATCAAAAACTGTATCTTCACCGATATCAATGCCTGAATATTGTACAGAGTATCGCAGACGACCACCATATGCAGTAATCTGTGGATGGAAACAGACAAATAGCTATTTTTATTGGCTGAAAAGATAAATAATTTCTCGACTAGGAACAAAATTGTTGAAGCTCAAGACCTCAAAAGATAAACTCAGAGCACACTTCTCCCAATACAGACTTTCAGTTAGATTACACCTTCTTCCTAAGCAGAATCATTATGTATAGTCAAATTATGAAAAATATATTAAGTACTGCACTCCAACATTATTTTTATAACACAAACTTTTCCTGCCCCAAAACCTTCATATTTCATTAAATTTGTTTCTGTTAAATTTATAGCCATCAATTTCTACAACAGTATATGATAACACAGCAGGAAATAAGCAATTCAGGTTACAAGACAGAAATAGCTGTTAGAAGTTGTTCCTTGATGTGTGGATTTCACTTTCACGTATATATGTATATGATAAATACCTTATTTCCAAGAAATATTTGTGGTAGATTCCAGTATAAAGTTGTTGGTGTGTCTAACGAGTTGAGGGTCGCTGTAGCATTCAAGCGTACTTCATCTGGAGTAAACACTACACCAGCTTGAGTTTGCACGATGCTACGATCATCGCTAACAAAGAAACCATTGTCTGCAGCAGTTACAACAATCTATGAAAACAAATATTTAAAGAAAAAATTTGTGATTAGTTTACTCGCATCAAAATGGGAGCAAACAAATTTATATTTAAACTAGCCGTCTCTCGGCTGAGAGTTCCACTGTTAGCAATTTATATTTCGATTTGAGAATTGAAGATATCACCAAATGAATAATGTATAATATCAAAGCAATCAGACTTGCAGTTTTTAACAAGTAGTCGAAAGTATCACTTTTTACCAAAAAATTACAAAAATATTCATCGAAATTAGAAAATTGAAGATATCATCACAAACTGAACAAATCAGAGAGAGGTCCATCTGAGGTACATGCACACTAAGTATAAAAGCAATCAGACTTGAAGTTTTCAAGAAGCAGTCGAAAAAGTTGACGTAGATGACGACAGACAATCACTCGTATGAGTATCAGACACACATAATGTATGGTTGAAGATTATCCAATCATAGGACAGAATTTAATGATATGCAGATATATTCATAGTCACCTGATCTCTGACGTAATCTGCTTGTTGACAGACTTTAGTGATGCCAAAACAGAAGCATTCGGTACACCCAGTGGCTAAGTCTTCACGTAATCCAAAACTATACTCTACACATTTATTGCACCTCTTGCCGGTAACATGGTCCTGGAGAAGAAAATAGTTTAATAAAATGAAGAAATGTCTTCAGTAAAATAGTGGTAGCATGAAATCTTGAATGACTAGATATCTTGAGATTAAACAAGGTGGAGTACGAAACACAGTGTAGCGTTGCATTGTACATTTACCTTGCATTCACACTGTCCCTCATCAGAACATCCACACAAACCATCTTCATTACAACCAGTATCATCAGTGCCTTTATTGTTACATTTACATTCACGGCATCTAGGGAAGTCTCGAAATCCAAACTGACACTGGTTACATTCTCTACCTCTGTAATCAGCCAGACAATCACACTGTCCAGTAATAATGTTACACTGAGATCCAGATGAACCATCTTCACTGCAGTTACACATCTAAACAAAGACAAATATTACAATGTCAACACTATACTATAAATATTGTTACGCACATTTACATGAATGAACCGGGGGTCAACACCATCTTACATGTTTATACCTGGTAGCCCTGGAACATGTATATATCCATTACTTTACACTGATGATGCATAATGTGTGTACATTTTTGAGGTCCAGTAGATTATATATACATATTTAATTCATAGTACTATTTACATGTCTATTCTACTAAAGTTCCTGATAAATGTAAAACTTAAATTTGTAACGTTACACAGATTCAAGGCAAATGGAACACAATTAAGTCAATTCATGTGATTTCTAAATATAGATAATGAGTGATTGTTACCTTGCATCCAGATATTTGGTCATAGCCCCAGGTGTCAGGTGCACACTGTTCACATCGCATACCAATGGTATTGGGTGGACAGATACATTCCCCAGTCTGTGCATCACATGATCCACCAGTTCTCTCACAATCACATACTAGATAAAAAAACACAAGACATCACATAATACATGTTGCTACAATCACACAGAGACAGATATAAAAGCTGCACACAGATTAGATCATCCGGGTTATAAAGAAATTGGTATAGAACACCAGAGATCTCAGAATAGTAAGCGTGAATGTGTGTGGATATCAGTTCATCTTAATCAACTTTAGCCAAAATCAACATATTTCATAACAAATGTAATTCAACTTCAACCAGAACTGTATGTGAGTATGTGGGCAGATGCCACTTCATTTTTCTAAATCTCCCTATCAACTTCTGCCAAAACCATTGCATTTCACCCATGAATGTAATTAGTCCTCAGATCAGTACAAAGCATGTTACTGTAATTTACTTTATTTTCACTTGGAATTAATTTTTGTTATCTTCGCTGGAGGAATGATTCAGTGAAAATAATATCCAGTGAATTTACTTTTTTTCGTCTATTTTACATTCAACTCATCAAAAATCAATGAAAATGAAATTCACATAAAACACCCAAAAAGTCTTTTTAGTGAAAATTAATTCCAGCTAAAATAAATATTTCCTATAATTGGTTTCAGAGAAATCATAAATATCCCATTAATCTAATTGAAATTTGTAATAATGACTCACATGTACATCCGTCTTCAGTAAAGTTATAGTATCCAGACAAACAATGGTCGCATGTTCTTCCTTGTACACCAGGTTTACAGTAACACTGACCCTGGATGATGTCACATTCTACTCCTAACGAACCAATAAGATTACAGTTACAGGGATTACATCCCTGAGCTGACAAGATATCCCAATATCCAGTCTGTAATTGTGAAAAGGAAAGAATCATATTATATCAAAGGTCGCTATTAGCTCAACTGCGCATGGGCATTTTGCCTCTCCGTATTGAGACTGGGCGATTTAGACACGAGCCTGTAAGTGAACGAATCTGTAAATTTTGTGATGCAAACGTTGTTGAGGACGAAATGCATTTGTTGTTTGACTGTCAGCATTACAATGAATTGAGGCATGAGTATCTAGATTCAATTCTTAATGAAATAACTGGCATATCACGGGAACAAATACTGGTTCGTAGTAGTAACACCTAAATGGTGGAAAAATTGGTTTGTGCTGTGCATACATTTGAGTTCAGTGTAAAAATTCTATTTCCGTTGCTATAGCAATTTTGGGTTCAGTGCAAACAAAGGAAAGTGTTTGAATGTGGTGTAATTAACCTGGAACACATCAATGTTGGTGGATTTGGCTTATCCCATATAAAGTAAAATTTAAATGTTCAAATGAGTGGTGATAAAAACAAAACAAATGCTGATACTGCTCTTTTACTGAATAGCGAATTCTACAATTTTTTGTGCTAGATGTACAAAAAAAACTTGTACACACAACACATTCTGCTACATGTTTCATATTTATTCATTACATATTTGAAGTTTTTTTGTGCAAGGTGACACTGAAAGTCAATGATGTCTCCCTGACATTTCTTTGTTTTCAAAGCAAAACCACATGTGAACTAGTCCCCCAAACTGAATAATGTGTGTTTAGTAGGCAGTACAGGTTGTACTCAGAATAACACTGATGAATTAGTCAAACTCACAACCTCCCTGAAGGGAGGTGAACAAGTAATCACTGTGCCATTACAAACTTAACACAGAACCAGTTGTAGGAACACCGGCACAATTAGAAAAGAAATCAGAATCTAAATTATTTTTTTTATGGTATACCTATTCATTTCTTACCTCACATATGTTGCAATGCTGTCCAATGACGTGTGGTTTACATTCACATTGCCCAGTACGGTGGTCACATATCTCAGTTACTGCACCGGGACGATAACACTGACAAACTGGAATAACAAAATGTATTTCTCTATCAAAACTATGACCAAATTAGGTTATATTTATTTTTCCATAAAACATGTGATGGAAATGATCAAAAATGTTTTGACGAACACGTGTGAAGACTAACATTTTAAATATAGGGTTATCTATGCATACAGATTAACCATATATACAAGTTTAATAGTAATCCAATTAGAATGTAGAAAAAGTTACAATGCCAATTTCGATTATTTTATGATATTCCGAAACAAAGTTCTACAAACTTCAGACACAAAATTAAAACAGTTCACAATCTTTATCAGAAAGGTGTGATGGAGTAAACTTGTTTGAGATTATATGATAATCAAATTCTTTTTGATGTGCCATATTGTTGTAACTTACCTTGACAGTTCTTTTCCACAATAGCATCACCATAGTAACCATCAATGCATCTCCCACAATATGCACCCGCTGTATTGTTGATGCATTTCAGACACTCACCACTGATGCTATTACAATTCCCTTCCGAATTGACATCAAGGTTGTTATTACAATTAAACATACAGGGTTTGCAGGTATCATTCAAAACTAATGGGTTACCATAGTAACCATCTGAGCACCTAGCAACAAAGAATATAAAAATAACTCATCACATTAGAATTTGTTAAATATTTAAGATATCCGTATCACCTGCTGAAAGCCTCCAGCGATTAGACAAGATGAAAAAAAAAGTGTCAGCAGGCAATAATCAAGAAAATATTCTCCAAACGAACAAAAGGTAAACAGTCATGAATCCTATAAACTTAATATTACCTATCACATCTTGGTCCTTCATATCCAGGCTGACATTGATCACAATAAAAACTATCAGTATCTCCACCCTCTTGACAAGTTGGACTGAAACTAAACATCACAAAAATACAGTTAATACAATACACTCACACTACCATACGAGCTCAATTTAAAACACACTAATCATTAATATGTACCGGGTACTTGCATCAGGTGATAGAATGATTGCTGATTACTGGTATATAAATAAAATTTGGAAAATCAATCAATCAAACTCGTAACAGACATAGATTTAAAACAATATTAACTGACACCTTTTCAACATGTAATCCAGTATGTTTGCATTATGTATTTTAAGTATATAATATTATTATTACTACATTAAGTACATGTACAAATTGAATTATGAACTCGTCTAAAAATAGTATTCATGCTACACGAAGAACAGGCTACGATTTAACCTTATCTCATATGTTTGCATATTGGATAGACCCAAATGCGTTCGCGCACAGGACGAAACAGCAGTTAGCACGGGCTAAGTAATGCCCAAACTTGCTAAGAATATATAACAATCTTCATTCATTTTAGTTATAATTACTAGTACAGTAACAAGCAGCCTGTCGGCTGAGATAGCTCCGCTGTTAGCAATGCACATGGCAATTAAAGAACAGAAGATATCATTAGAAAATGAACAAATCTGAGAGAGGTCCACATGTAGTACCTATATGTATAATATATCAAAGCAATCGGACTTGCGGTTTTCAACAAGAAGTCGAAAATATCACTTTTTACCAAAAATTACAAAAATATTCATCAAAATTAGAGAATTAAAGATATCATTATGAAATGAACAAATCTGAGAGAGGTCCACATGTAGTACCTATATATGTAATATCAAAGCAATTGGACTTGCAGTTTTCAACAAGAAGTTGAAAATATCACTTTTTACCAAAAATTACAAAAATATTCACCGAAATTAGAGAATTAAAGATATCATTACAAAATGAACAAATCTGAGAGTGGTCCACATGTAGTACCTATATATGTAATATCAAAGCAATTGCACTTGCGGTTTTCAACAAGAAGTCGAAAATATCACTTTTTACTAAAAATGACAAAAATATTCACCAAAATTAGAGAATTAAAGATATCAACATGAAATAAACAAATCTAAGAGAGGTCTACCCAAGGTACATATACACCAAGTATCAAAACATTCAGGCTTGTAGTTTTCAAGAAGAAATCGAAAAAGTAAAACATTGACACGGACGACGACGACAGACGACGACAGACGACGACGGACAATCACTCATATGATAAGCTCCGCTCGACAAAGTCGACAGCGGAGCTAACTAGAAAGTTATACATGATAGTTCTACGGTTATAAAACAATACCAACACAAATTCAGTGAGTACAGCTTGCAGAATAACAAGAAGTAGCATAGAGTCTCGTTAATTCATTTATCTTGAGAACAGTCTATGTGTGTTTGCGTTGATCGTCATGTTGGAAATGGCATACCGAAATGACTACTCATGAAATAATAGTAAATCTTCCAAATGAACATTGAATACAATGGCGCTTAGCCCACACTAGACGTTCACGCACACTTCGTTAGCCTGTGCTAAAGATCTGGATCGCGTCTTAAAAACGGGCCAGATTTAATCCATACTTAGTGTTTTTTAGTCCGCACTGAGGAGCTTTGCCTGAACGCTACCGGGGGGTACTTATATTTTGAGAAAACTGTTTCCGTGATCCTTACCATGATCAGCTTATTTCAGAATTGTTTCTACTTTGTGTTAATTGTTTCCTTATTTATTCACCTCTTTTGAATTTTTTTTTTCTGATTTTATTTATGGTAAAATAAATTCATTCATGTATTCGCTGTCATGTGACAGAAATGTAATTATGTGATTTTATCAGGTGACAGAAATGTAATCATGTGATTTTATCAGGTGACAGAAATGTAATCATGTGATTTTATCAGGTGACAGAAATGTAATCATGTGATTTTATCAGGTGACAGAAATGTAATCACGTGATTTTATCAGGTGACAGAAATGTAATCACGTGATTTTATCAGGTGACAGAAATGTAATCACGTGATTTTATCAGGTGACAGAAAAGATTATAAACATCATACTTGTTCGAAGACTCTTTCAATGGGCAAGCACATCGTTTACAATCTCCTGGGGTACCAACATTTGCATCGCCATAGTAACCAGGTACACAGAATTCACAGTTAGTACCATATGTGTTGTGTTGACATTCCTAGAAATAAATGAAATGTGGAGAAAATGACAGTTTTTTTCAGATGTGACAGCATAACAATGAATCCCATACAATAAAATACACCAACAAGAAAACATACTTGACTAGACTGAGCAATTTAAAACACTGAGGGTATCAAACATGAATGTGAAACTTACTATGCACTCTCCTGTGATGTCATCACATTCTGCAGCATGTCCATTACAGTCACATGGTACACAAATCCCTTCAAACAGTTCACCGTTGATACGGCGATAGCCAGTAATACATTCCTACAGACAAACAAGTTATTTCAGCATAAACACAAACTCCTATTATGTTAAAGCCACAAGGAACCATATACAGCCAATCCTGTCAATTATGTTATTTTTCTTAATTACTTTTGTGCCAAGCAGCACTTGTGATAAATGTATGGGTTGATTGAATTTAGATACAATATATTTTCCCACAAAAAATCGTATCAAGAAAAAGTGTGATCACCTTATAATATTAGCACTAAGGCAATGTAATAAACCTTGATACCTGATTGAACACAAGCACGTGGATTTAAATTGACCTAAGATGATAACTACATAGTATTTGAATATTTTGTCAACACCTGATTTATATACAAGTTTCTTGGTTGGCTGATATCTGGTTAGAGAATGCCGAATTACACCCTGTCGCTATATAGTTGTCGCTGTCAACCAACTATATTGTCACATGACAGTAGAGGAGGTAAGATAAGTTGGCTGTAAGAATATAATTGATAATGACATAATAAGCTGCGTTTTACCTCACATGAGAGGCCAGCATAACCTGATGGACAATTACACTGTTCCACAGATGACATGATATTGGTGTTGTTGACATTGTCTGCAGCGATATCAAGTGAAATGTCAGATATTCTGGAGTCTAGATGTGCTGTGTGATAGGTTGCTCTGATTAGAATACTCTCCAAGTTTGCCAGTAATGACATGAATTCCACTTTGCTGACATAACGATCACTCTCTTCATGGAACCAAGTCTGCTCAGTGAAAGCAATCTCAAATGTTTCCGATCTGCCTGGCACCACCCATCGGATAGGACGTTGTTTTATTGTTGTATCACCACCCTAAGGATAGAGAATCAAATGGTACGTGTAATTTGAGAAAATATGAAAGTCTCATGATGCCAGTAGGTGCATACTACCAACGCAAGTGCAGGTTGCTTTTTTTTTTTCACTCACCGTATTCAGCGCCCTCTATTGACAAATTGATGAAATCGGCTAAATTTGAGCCCCATCAAATATTTTAACCAAAAACAAGCAGCCTGTCAGCTGAGATAGCTCCGCTGTTAGCAATGCACATGGCAATTAAAGAACAGAAGATATCATTAGAAAATGAAACAAGCAGCCTATCGGCTGAGATAGCTCCGCTGTTAGCAATGCACATTTCAATTAAAGACTGAGACATCATTAGAAAATGAACAATATGAATAG